CACACACATACACACACATGATGCTGATGACTCCTCTGTCAGCATGTTGCCCAGGTGCTGCATGAATGAGCAAATGTGGTCTAATGCCCCTCAGATGTCAGTTGTTGTTTTTTCACTGTAAAGTCTGGCAAATTGCAGTGATTTGCAGTCGTAAATTTGTCATGCTACAGTTTCCTCTCTGACTCTGGCAGAAATTCCTCTTTCAGCTGGCACTGCTTTGACGAAAGCATGAGACAACCGGATATCTCCCACAGTGATAGACATGTGTGTGCTTGTGTGTGTGTGTGTGTGTGTGTGTGTGTGGACCTGTCACTCTAGGTTGAGTGATGTTGACGTGAGCAGAAGTGACATGACTGTGGTTCTCTATGAGGGAGGTATGGCACAGAATCTAGACCAGAGTGGGACATGGTGGGTGAGTGGATGTGTTTGTGTGTATGGATGGATGGCTTGGCAGACAGCAGATGAGGGGATGTCATGGCCCTCCGACTCGCTCTCTCCCCCCCCCCCCCCCCCCACACACACACACACACACACACACACACACACACACACAAGCAGCCATATCCAGCAGCAGCAGGCATGAATGGTCATTCAGCTCCAGCCAGCAGTATGAAAACAAGTCAAAAGGAGGAAAACGGTATTCAAAAGGGGGAGGATGGCGGATGGGGTCTTGGGCCAAAAAAAACATGGTGGGCTCGTCTGTGCTCCTCCCTGTCCTGATGAGCACCCCAGGCAAATATTCTGTGAATGAGAGCATTTTTTTTTTTTTTGGGGGGGGGGGGGGGGGGGTACACTTCCCATTTCAGCCTGAGAAAGAGAAGCATGAGGACATGTGACTCACCTATGATGTCATACGAGATGAAAAAATGTCAAATTAGTCTGAATATGTAATAGAGGATGTAAATGTTGGCCTGCCTCTTTGTCTGGCTCTTCCATTATTTCAGAAAAAAAACTCTGGTTTTCTAACTTTCCGTCTGATCCTCAGAGTTCTTAGGAATCCATTCAAGTTTCTCTGGTCAACAACACTGTGCTTGTTAGTGGACTAAACATCCAAGAAGCCCATATGATGTAACAAACAGATATATTAAGGTATAAATTGATTTTACGTAACAGAATGTCAAATGTGCTTATTTTCATTTTTTAATTAAAAGGGTTTAATATAAAGGTAGATGTGCAAATAGACTCACTCACTCACATCCATTCACATACTGATGGCAGAGGTTGCTAATCCCATTTCCATTCGAGAGCTGGGGATTGAACCCCCGACCTTCCGGTTGAGAAACAATCGACTCTACCAACTCAGTCACAGCTACCCCACAACAGGTGAGATCAGGAGTTTTAACCAGGAAGCTGCTATTTGTACTTCATGTAAAACCAACTGACTATGTTCACTAGGTTTTTTAACCTAAACCATGATCATATTCTTAAGCATGTAGTTTTAGTAGCTAAATAAAAAGAGTTGTTGCCTAAACATAACCAAGTGGGGAGTACCTGGGATTGTGAAACCTCCCCAGTTTGGCCCATTCAGTGGGTTAAACCAAGTCAGTGGTCTTTCACACAGAACATGAACAGCAGTCGTCTGTACTCAAAGTTGGAAAAGTTTCCCAGAAAAAAACATCAAAGACACATCAAGCAACAAGTATATGCCAATCACATCGCTGCGCTTTTCAAACCCACCCTAACCTTCTCCCAAAACAAAGAGCTAACAGACCTAAAATCCTCTGAAAATTATTTTGGATACCTGGTGGGCTGATCCCGAGGAAACAGCAAACCTAAAGCTCCATAATGATCGGGGTTACACAGCAGAGATATAACAGGTTTAAAGGTAAGATGTGTGTGAAGTTGTTGGTTGGTGGATCGTGTTCATGAAGCCGGATTAAGCTTCTTATCCAAAAGATGTGCACAAGAGAGGTAGCCCATCGATATTTACGTCTTACTTTCAGCGAAGATGGAAAAAAAATGTTTTCCAAAAATGTTGAAAATTTCCCTTTCACTATCCTCACACATAGAATATGATGAGCTGTGATATTTTCAGCACAACTACAAAGACAGAAAAAATATATTACATAGCCTTTATTCCAAATTAGTTTCTCTTAGAATAAATAAAATAAAACTCCTCATGGAACATAAAGTCTCATGTTCACTTTTAATATCGCGGTTTTAACACCTAATAATAATGAGTTTGTCTTCATTCACCTATTCCCTCTGGACACTCTCTACTTTGTTCAGCGGCTGCATTGCTGGCCAGCTTGACGTGTGTGGGACACAGAGCCTTCACATGCTCCTCTGATCTCTGGCTGCAAACGCACCATAATGAGGTGACTTCATGAAGATTGAGAATTTATGCTCATTGGGAAAAACAGTTTTCAATTCAACAAATTACGAGCCTGGTCATTTACAGTGTCCACCCTGACATTTTCTTTACTTCTCATATAGCAGAAAAGCCATTAAGTAGAAGGTTTGCTGGGTGTGACAAGTACTCATAAGTGTTTAAAATATACTCGAGGTGGCGGCTAATCGCTGTGGTGAAGACGTTTTTTGGCTCAGTGGCGACAGCTGCTTAGCCAGAGGAATTGATATAGTTTACTGTACTGGTCTTTTCCTTTTGGGGCGGAAAACGTTTTATAATCTTCAAACACCTGTTGAAGAAGTCAGATTTTACATCCTTACCTTTAGCTGGCAACACACTAGATAATATTTTAAATCTTGATATTTTAAATCTTAATGAGGACAATTTCAACCAATTTTTAACCAAATGCACTCGATGATTCAGCCAGGTCGTCAGACCACACATCTGCCGTATATAGTCAGGTTTCATAGGGATGATTCCACAGACATGAGATCTCACAGAAACTTGCTTGATCAAACATGACTTCCAAAAAAAAAAAAAAAAAAGATATAGTGGACGAGCGATATTGTCAGCTGGCTGTCGAGGTGTACGTTCTGTTTTACAGCAAACATTTTAAAAACTAGAAAACAGTATGGGAGGAAATCCTACAGTACTTAAGAAGAGGCTTATACATGCTGCAGAGTGAGCTGGAGGTGAGTTGTAAAAGTACGCAACATGTGGTTGGTGACGCTTCCCAGTCTTCTTGCTTTCATTGGCTATTGCAGGAATTTGGAGGCAATCTTCAAATATCAAAATGTTTGAAATTTACAGGAGGCTCTGACTGGATGGGAAACAGTAACAGTAAAACAAAATAAAAACACCACACACTTGAGGATTATCTGGACAAATGATCGGTTGCAATCCTTAATCTGCCTGCCTACCTATCTGTTTCCAGACCCATCTGCCGATAATTTCCACTAATCCTTCAAGTCTCTTGGTTTAGTTTAGGCAATTCAACTAACAGGTTATGGTGAGGGTTTGAAAATGTATCTCCTGATATCAGGTCAAATATGAACCCTGTCTCCAATATCAAATCCTCCTGGTCATCCTCTTTGTGGTTTTAATACTTTAAAGCCACTTTCAGGGACCCAGATCTTAAGAGAGATTTTGGAAATCAAACCTTGGCAAGTGAGAAGAGTCAAGATCACATGCATCAATCATTTTAAGTTTCTGCTTCTTAGAACCGTTAGACACATATGTCTGTGTAACAGCACTGATCTTAACCCCTTTCACATCAACTTATTTGAAACCATTTATAAAAAAAAGTTACATCTCCAAAAGAACAAACACCAAAGCAACATTTAGTTGTCCTTACCCAATTAAAACCAATTAGACAAGCCCACGCTGAGTGAAAGCTGAGGTTGAAAGCTCCCTGGGTGGAGACAGATGTTATCTGGCTCTGTCAATGAAGCATCACGACCTTTAAACACAACAGTGTTTTTACTGAAGAGAACCCCAGTCCCAGCAGAGTCCTTTATCTCTGCTGTAAGACACGGTGTTGTCAAAGAGCTCCTTGTGATCCCCTCAAGGCCAGTAGGAGGTATTTTAATAGCCGTCTGACCCGTGGTGGCTCTACCCTGCTGCCATCAATCACACACAGGGAAACTATTGTGCAGCATTTGAAGCACAAAAAGCAGAGGACGTCTTTAGATTCAGATTCAGATTCAGTTTTTTTTATTGTAAAAGGGGAAATTTGCGTTGCAACAGGAGCACACAGAAGACAAGAAACACAAGGACAACATCACCATAAAAACATGGACCAAAACACATTTTTTTAAAATCAGACAACTCAGCAAAATATAAAACCAAATAAAAACAGCACAATAAAATCAGTCAAGAGCTCATACCAGAATGGAAATTCGAGTTATTAAAGTGCAAAGTGGATGTGTGCAAATGTGCAATTCAAGTGCAAAAAGAGCAACAAATACCTCTTTAAGGAAAGTTCTTCTTCTTCTTCTTCTTCTTCTTTTTCTTCTTCTTCTTCTTCTTCTTCTTCTTCAGTCAGATAGCTACATCTGTTTGAATGTTGCTCTCCTGCAGGCAGATAGCTCCACCTGACAGACACAATTTTCACTGCTAATACCATTTACATCTTTATTTTGGGGAACAGGGCAATGGGGAAATAGGCCTGTACTGTATTTTATAAAAATGTTATGAAACTATTTTGATTAGTCTTTTATTTACTTGCTGCTTGTAATTTTTTACATATTTTGTTCTCCATGACCTTACCAGAATAATGAATAATAACTTTGACTGCTTGATGATCTGTTTTAAAATTCAATTTTTCAAAATAAAATGAAGGCAAATTTTGTCTGCAACTGACAGACAAAAATGATTTTATTTATTTGTATTTTCTTAATTAAAGTATGCAGCTTACACCCCCCTTTTGATCCCACATTGTCTGACCTCTTCAAGTCCCCCTGTCTCTTAGTGGAGTGGATTGGTTCGTGAGGGTTTGCTCTGAACTTTGCAAAACTTTGTAAGCAGTTAACCGAAAAGGCTGCGTGTCTCTCGTTGGTTGTGCGCTCCGAGGCGTCATCATCTGTCATCCAGCAACAGAGTTTCATGCATGCGTCCTCCTCTGGTCTCCTCCCATTGTGGAAACAGCTGTAGACCATGAACCGTGGAGCGCGGGTCTGACGCGGATTACCTGGATACTACTTGTAAGCGTGGGTGGGCATCCATAAGCGAGAAACTGAAGGCAGCGCTGCTTTGCTTATTTTTCTGGAAAAAAAGAGTTTATCCACGTTTGTTTCTTAATGGAATCACTACAAAGAACCCCAACCATGGCGAGTGGACTTTTTCACACTCTGCATCTGTTACTGATTCTTGAGTCGAGCTGGGGGAAAGTGTTTGAGGATCTCGGAGAAGCTGTGCGTCAAGGTGCGGAATCCCCCCTTTCCGTGGAGCAGCGCGTCTTTACGCACGAAAACGCACACCGGGACATGGTCTCCATCAACATGTTCAAAGTGTACGAGAAGTACACGAAAGAGCCGCAGAGCCAGAGGGACGGGAACACCGTGAGAAGTTTTAAAGCAGTCCCAAGTGAGTGAACAATGTAACGATTTATCCAGTCCCAAAAAAAGAAATAATGAGACCTGCTAACTGCTGGATGTTTTCACAATATGTTATAATCACTTTCTGTTGAAAAAAATCGCGAGTATTTTGTCACAAACATTGAACTAAAAAAAAAAAAAGACCACTCAATCATGATCATTTGTTCTGTAGACACATTTCACGACTTCAGGTGTAAACTTAAACAGAAACCGTGCTGGGTTTGTTACCAAAAGTTACTTTAAAATCATAAAACTTAAATTACACTCATTAACTCCAATTATTTTTTCCTATGATAGGACATGCACGTTTTATTTATTTATGTTTACACTTTTTTGAAACCAAGATTCATTTCCATTTTTATAAATGTAATATTCATCTTCCACTTCTGTTTTTACCAACTGGTGTTGCACGTTTTATCACAGATCTTCCATATTGGGTCCATAACTAGAGAAAATAATAGAAAGTTCACATTTTATATAAAAAAAAAAAAGTAACTTCATGCACATTTTAATATCATTGAAAATATCCTGATCTTGATTGTTTCATTAGTGGAAAACATCCTGAACGCAGGTGTTTTGTCAATCACCCTGCAGCCCTCACTTCCCTTCGGGGTTAACATCTTCAACTCTCTGCTCGGCCATGATTTAGTGATTAAGTGCCGAACCCTGTTAGTTACCCGGTAGCCGAGACAGCCTAGGTGTTAGACAAGAGCCTATTATCACACTCAGACATTGGCCGCACAGAGGAAAGCCTCAGAGGAGCTCTTTCTGCTATAAGCACTTCCATATGTGTGCGACAGACCTGCTGGACCGATCCAGTGTTTGTCTTTCAGGCTGAGGAGCTGGAAGTGTGGGAGACGAGGAGGTTTAACTTCACGAGTACATTGATCCAGGATGAGGCTTTTTGGTTATGCGTGAGGCAGGAACATAAGCATGCCACACTTAATGTTTTCCATGCTGCTGCATATGTACATCAGATGTGTTGAGCAACATTTTGCGGAACATGAATAAGGTGTGATTATTCATGTCAGTTATTCTGCCAGAATGAAACGATAAAGAAAGGAAAGAAGAGAGGGGAACACTTTACTTAAAGTTAGTGTGTATTTCAGTGACAGATCCTCCTTCAGGTAATCTGTTGGAAAAAATGACTTCTGTGACATAGTTGAACCATCACTGTCCATTTTAAAATTAATAGAAGAAAGCAGCGCATGAAAGAGTGTATGAAACACTCTGTGCTTCTCAGGAGAACTTTGTTTTTTTCATGTCTCATTTTAACTTTAGATTTCTTTTCAATCTCCGCAGAAGTCTCTCACGGCAAAGGTGTGTTCCAGTTCAACCTGTCCTCCATCCTAGAATCGGAGCTCATCCTATCCTCCTCCTTCCATTACCTCTACAAGCGACCACGCCATCACCAGCGACCATGGCGTTTCAGAAGACCTCGCCACCCGTCCAGCGGCCTCCAGCATCCCTCCTCCCCGACGCTCCTCTTCCATGGGTCATCCCTCAACTCTGCTTTTGCAACACCACTGGGAAACATAACTTTGGCTCCTTTCAAAAAGGGCTCCTGGCAAAGCAGGGATATAACAGCGCTGGTGAAACATGCCAGGGAAAACAAAGAGCTTGTGGTCACAGTGGAGTTTGATTTGGGGCTTGGTGCGGCTCGGGTGCAGCAGAAAGAGCGCCTCTCTGAAGCCAACCTGCCGTACATTTTGATATACGCCGATGATCGAGCCATAGATGAGCCGAACAGCGTGGCCATGTCCCTGCAGCGGTATGGCTCTTTACCTGTAGGGGAAGACGCACCCACCTCAGCCTCAGCCTCAGCTTCAGCCTCAGCCTCAAGGATACGTAGGGAGCTTCACCTCCAGATCCAAACCAATGACATCCCAGAAGTGCAGTTCAACTCCCTGAAGAACCACGAGCTGTGGCAGAACACATATTTCCCTGCCAAAGCCAAAGCAGCAGATAAATCAGTCAGGAGGCCGGGTCAGGACAGCGGCGAGGGCCTGAGTAAGCCCCAGGTGCTGAGCTTCGATGAGAGGACGATGAAAAAGGCCCGGAGGAGACAGTGGAGCGAGCCCAGGGTGTGCGCCAGGAGGTACCTCAGGGTGGACTTCGCTGACATCGGCTGGAGCGAGTGGGTTTTGGCACCAAAGTCATTTGATGCCTTTTACTGCGCGGGGACCTGTGGATTCCCCATTCCTAAGGTAAGCCAGATACGCACCTATCATTTTGAATGTATAAAACCGGAAATAACACAGAGCATGCTCATGCAGCATTTGTGAAATGAACTGTCTTACATTAGGACCTATATTAGGAAAAACAACTGAAGATACAGTTGCATGTTCTGTAATATGTCTGGCTTTTTTTTTTTTCATTTTACTAGAATAAAAAAAAAAACTTCTTCATATCTTTCATTGTAAAATTAGACTAAATTAAGGTTTTGTTCTGTGTATCATGGATTAAAAACTAAGAAATCAGGGACACATAACTATTAAAATCAATTATCTGTTGCGTACTTAAAGCTCCTAAAGCTTGTTTTTTGTTGATTGTGGCGCCCTCTGTGGACAAAGTGATATCACCGATCTTTTTATTGATCCTATCCTGTATAAGCACACGTAGGTCATTTATTCTGACAAAATATCTCCTGCTGCTTTCCTTAAATAGACAACCATACCACGTGGAAAATCTTTTTAGCATGCCTCATCTGACACCTACCCCGCGGCAGCAGTTACAGGCATTAAATTAAAATGTATTTTTTTGTTTCATTCTTCATACTGATACATTCGTTTGCTTCTGTAGGTCATACAGAGACTTCAGTGTTAATTTCAGTCAGTTTAAGAACCAGTTGAAAACGCCTCACAGGGGACTTTAAAGTCCAAGGCAAGGCATTTAAGAACGAGTATTTCAGTCTAGTTTTACACCTTTTGGTCACTTTTTTTATTTTGAGTAAATATAAATCAGTACTTTTAAAGCTCTGTTGACATTTTGCCTTGATGTTGTCAGTTGTAACGATAAGAAGTTTAAGATTTAATCCTTTCCACCTCCCCTCATTACCGCAGGTGGTTCGTCCTTCCAATCACGCCACTATCCAGAGCATCGTCAGAGCCGTGGGAATCGTCCCCGGTGTCCCTGAACCTTGCTGCGTCCCGGAGAAGATGAGCCCGCTCAGCGTTCTCTTCCTCGATCCGCACAGGAACAAGGTGCTCAAGGTTTACCCCGGCATGTCTGTGGACACCTGTTCGTGTCGATAAGGATGGAGATGGGGGAACATTTCATCAAAGGAGATTAAAGATAATGAGGAGGACGTGTACATTTATACTCAACACATGTGGACAGCATTTCCAAAAGGACAGACGTGATAGGAGGATGAACTAATCTGATGGAATGGACTCTGTTTGAGTCTCGGTTTGAGAACTCTTTGCTGAATCTTGGAATATCTTTTGCATGTTCGGACATTGACTCAGTTTTTTCTTACTTATTCTTATAGATGTATTCTTGTCCAAATGGTGCTTCTTTGTGTATTTTCCTTCCCTAAAAGCATTTATAAGAAGTGCACGTAATACTATCCTGTGTATGTAATGGTTGTAAATGTGTGCTGTATAGATTAACTGAACATTAAGGACAAAAGTCTTCAGCTTTGTAGATTACTCAAGAACATTTCTTCGATCCTTTTTGCAGCACTTTTATACAGCGTTTTTACTCTTTTTTAATGTGTCAGACGTTTATATTTGATTTTCTGGTCTCTCTTTTTTTTTTGATAAGCTCAACTTCTGGGTTGGACAGTTTCTGAAACAGTGTGACCTCAGGAACCTCTTGTCTTTTCCCATGCCTCGAGGATTAACCTACAGACTGGTGAACTTTACGTGGACTCACAGACTCTGGAGGAACACAGAGGATCTATGACAGCACATTTACATCCTAAACCCTTGTCATGTAAACACTGTAGCTACTAATGCAAACTAAACACTACTTATTCATAAGTGATGTTTTAATAGGTGTCATAATATGAGCACCCCCTTATTTTAGCGGGGTGTTGGTAATGCATGAGAGGTTTTATCTCCTTTGAATTACATTTCAGTTACCACTTGTTTATATCTTGTACATAATGAGTGTATCGTCTGAGATTTCATGTAGCACAGCATGGCTTGTTTTTACTTCAGCAGGAAAACAGTGCTTTGCTGCCCCCTGCTGTGCATTATTGGGAAAGTTGAAAGGGACATTTTGAAGGAGACCAGTTCTAATACTCCCTGTATAAACTGTTCTGTTATCAAGGTGGACATGTACAGTTTGTAATAATAATAATAGATTGACATATCTATTATATATATATACATACAATCGTATTATTGAATGCTTCAAAGTGGACTTGAAAAGGTCAGTGATGTGTATTTTAACAGATTATAGAATAAGCCTGGTAAGGAAATAAAACAAATTGTACATATCTTAAGAGATTCTTTTGGATTTAATAAAAATAGATTATTTGAGAAATTCAGACATATTCCTTAACAAAGCAACTCTCTTTCAACACCTGGCATTTAAATGAAATACATAAGGGACACTGAATAGACTAAATGGACTTGAGCTTGTATATAGCGCTTTTCTAGTCTTCTGACTAATCAAATCGCTTTTACACCGCAGGTCACATTGACACATTCACTCACTGATGGCAGAGGCTGCTGTGTAAATTTTCCATCAGAGGTATACTAATCACATTCATACACATTTATATGCTGCCAACAAAGCATTGGGAGCAACTTGGGGTTCAGTGTCTTGCCCAAGGACACACAGCACAAGCACAGGAGATGGGGATCGAACCCCCGACCTTCCAGTTGAGAGAGACGCCGACTCTACCAACTGAGCAGAAAGAAGAAGAACCCTATATCTACTAGTTAACCTTCAAAATGATCAAACATTTCAATAACATATGGATTAATGTTCCATTCTTATTTAAAGTTTGTTGGATTTTTATGAAATTTAAGCTAGGGCAGTGTTAGATGTTTAAAAGTTGACCCAGGGACAGATGACTTCAAGCTAAAAGTTACACATAGACCTACATGACTACTTCATATAATAAGAATAATGACCCAAAAACGTTTTCCTTTTGGACTTCAGGCAACAATAAAGGCTACAGATGATGAATCACCTGTGAGGTGTATTTTGTTATGGAGATTTCTGTGTCTTTAAAACTTTGCATAGGCTCTTTCTGAACAAAACTTTCGATCACTGGGTAGATTGTGATTGGCTGAAGAGGATCCCATGATTGCTATGGTTCGTCTCCAGGTGCATCATTTCTATCAAATCATCATTTTAACACAAACAAAACCTCAAAGTGACACGGAAAGTTTTTAGGCTACGATTTCTTCAAAATTCACGCTTCAACTGTGGATTTTAATCACCTTGAGAAGGAATACTCCCTAAATCACATCAAGATCCAAACAATCAACTTCCGGGATGGAAAAGGTAAGATTTGAACTATTTGAACTATTAAAACAAGACCAAAGCTCTTGATTACTGAATATAATTTTATTAATGCAAAGTTAAATCTAAATGTAGTTTATTCAAAGGTTTTTTTTCTTTTTTAAATAATCAGTAAGTAAATATAATATGGGCCTATTTTCACAAAAGTTCATATTCAGCTGATAAGTGCCATTATACTGTAAGCCACATGTCAGTAAATGCCAAAATAGTATTTTAAGTTATAAGACCAAAAGACACATGAAGGTCTAACCATGATCCACGCTTTGTTACCCGACTTTAAATCCTATTGTTGGTTGCCTCTCTTTAATTTGCTTGCAAATATTTAATGTAGGCTAGTTAAACAGCATATTGCCTTATCACAGGATAATAAGTAGGCGTAAATACTGTTCCTTCTTGGCCTATCTCCGATGGTTGCCAGATGAGGACGAAATCTGTCCTGCAGGTTTTATTACTCCTGGATTAAAGCCTACTATAACAGCACACCTGCTAACAGTACAACTATTGGTCAGTACCGTCACATCTCGTCTGATGCTGTTGTCGTGTCAGGATATTTAATGAACTGAAAATAAAGGGGCTGTGCCAAGTGCGTAAAATGCGCACAGCACATCTCTCGATTAAAGCATAAACTGTAAATAATAGCCTGTGATATGTACAGTCATTCCATGGTGCATCATTTATATCAAATCATCATTGAAACACAAACACCCCCTCGGTCTGTATAGTCTGGCACCAGGGTGGAGAGATTCGTCTCCATGACAACCGTTGCTGCGTAGCCTACACATTAACTTCTACTTGGAAACTGAGATTTAAACTCGTCCAGCTGTCTATGCTACGCTATGTTGATAATACTTTAAAGAACAGTCACCACCTGCAATGAAATAAGGTACTTCAAGTATAGTTTTAAGTTGTTTTCAAAGTAAAAGTGTTGAGTTTGGTAGCATAGCTACAAACACTTTTAGCTGCAGGAAGCGATAAACGCGAGCAACAGCATGCTAATGTTATGAAGGCTATGGCTTATTTTGCTATTTCCCTAGTTATTTGACTGTAGCACTCGGTTAAAAAAGGTGAAAAACTGTTGTAAAGTTGACTTGTCTAAAAGTATTTGGGTTATTTGTGGGTGAATCTTATAGCTACAGTAGATGACAGTATCAGAAGGAAATACAGATAGCCATTATACAGCCGTTTATTTTATTTATTTATTTATTTATTTATTTGGGACAGTGCATATTAATGAACAGCTGTAACAATTACAGCTGTGAAAATGCCAGATTATAGCAGAAGTGCTAGTTTCCATCTGTTGTCCCTAGGCAGGTAACAGAGAAAGATAAAATACAAATACAAAGTGACACAAGACAATACTAGAGGTTAAAGGTTAAAGGTGGTCACAGACTTGGTTTTCTTTTATCCACAGTCTGAGGTGTGTTTTGAAGGTTGCATATGTTTGTGAGTCTCTTACTGTGAGTGGGAGAATATTCCAATATTTAGCTCCTTTGCCTGACAGAACAGTTTGTCTGAATGTAGTGCGTCTGTATGGGACCTCACCGTCTCCTCGGGCTGTGGCCCTGGTGCCGTTAGACTTTTTCAAACGGAAGGGCAGACACTATGCACATTTCTAATACAATATTTTGAATTTCAATAATTTGTACTCAAATGTTGAGATTTGGACTTGAATTGATCCATAACACTACTTAATACTCAAATACAGAGGTTTATAGTTGAAAAAAAGTGGTTTTAGGGTTTAGTTACTCATTAATTCATGCCTACATTGTGTAACTACCTAAAGTTGAATGAGGAATTATTACGTATCGATCGTGTTCTACTTGCAGATGATGGATAGGAGAAACTTCCCTCGTTTCGGTGTTCTGGTGCCTCATCCTCCGACCAAACCTGCGCGGCCCAAACCTCCAGCCCTGAGTAACAGACCAAAACTTCCTCCAATCAGAAATTCCTCTGTGACTGAACAGAAAGGCCTCTACTCAGGTGGCATCAGTACAATCCATGTTCAGGTAAAAGAACACAAGCATTTGCTTTTGAAACTTTAAATTCTGACGTTTTATAAGTAATTTAATTCACTGCTGCTATATGCTATCGGTTTTAGGCTAACTGTTTATTTATTAGTCTAATAGTGTTGGACCTGAGATCCAGAAGAGGTCACAGCCCCAACCCATCCTGAAGTTCAGGGATCACAAAACAACACACTGTGAGATTGAGCACATAAGTCCTCATTTAACTGATAGTCAATTGATTTTTAATAAAACACATTTCTGTGTAAAAACTTGATCTTTTGCACTGTTTTCCTCACTTTTTTTTCTGACTTCTGGAATGAAGATACATCCAAGGTTCAGCTGCCCTACCAAACAACTCCTGGGCAGATCCCCCGCAAGTTAAAGATAGAGAGGTATGTACTGTTTGTGTTTAACATGTATTATAGAAGAGGGCATTTAGTTTAGTGGTGTTTGAGCTTTCCATTTTAAACATGTGATGTGGTGTACATACAGGGCAGATTAAGATGTGTAATGTTAATGTTACTGACACTCTATCATACATTAACTTAGCCTACTTATTTAGTATGGTTAGCTGATAAAGTGTTGTGTGTGAATTAGTTTATTTGTGAATGTTTAACTTAAAGTGCTTTTTATTGTTTGCATAGATGCCGAAAAGAGTACTTGAAGTTGGACTTGGAACAGCTTCTGGAAGAAAAAGGCATATGTTCCAGTCACCTCATGGTCAGCGACGAGCCTGCGACTACACCAGACCATTCTGTGTCACCTTACCTCCCACTAGAGGTCAGTCTGTAACTGCTGCAACCCGTCTGAGCCATTACATTCTGGAGCACATCTCTCATCTTTCCTACATCCTTCACTTAGATTTTTGACAATGAGGAATATGACTGTCGGACTCCAGAAGACTGGCTGGCCTGCAATGCTGATGGAAAAACTGTTTATGGAAAAGCCCTGCTGCCTACAGAGAACAACATTCCTTCTGGTAAGATTTCCTCAGATGTACATCTTTTTTTTTTTAACACTGATGATCAGAATTCTGTTCTCTGAGTTTTACTTTCATATCTCTCATTAAGATGGTCCAGAAAGCTCCCTGCTGGAGTACAGCTGGCATTTAGTTGCAGTTCTTGAATTCAGTAAGGAGAAATGCCAGTATCTTGTACAGAAGGTTCACCAAAACACTAAGCTGACAGGTAAAAAAAAAAGACAATATTTCTTTTCTTTTTTTGTCTTCTAAACATTTTTATTTTTATTTTTTTTTTTACCATGTATTCATGCTTTCAATCTCATTCGGTTGCTTAGAGGTAAACACACTGCAAACAGACACTGGGCATTGGGTACCCAGGATTAGAGTGTTATTCATTGCTGAGGACCCACGTGTATTTGTCGAACGGATCCAGTTTGCCCTGCGTTTGAGAGATAACGTAGAGGCTCTGATTTTCTATCACTTGACTGTGGACTGCATGCCCATCTGGAGTGGAACACCATCTCTTGATACTGTCAGTCTACAGCGTATCAAAATGCATACCCTTTCAACTCCTGGGCTCAGGCAAGAAATGTGAGTATAAGTGCTTCTGCAGTCATTCTCTCCTTATTCAGTTTAATATCAGTCCATCTGAGTTGAAATGTAAACCAACTACTTGGTTGAATAATTGAGATATCATGTGTGCAGTGTAGAAAAGTGTTTAGGGGACCTGGAGATGGAGGTCAAGCTAGATTATGACCGAACAATGAATCGCATGATCTTTGACAAAGTTGTTCAGAGCCAATCAGAGGATTTTTCACACATCAACTTGCCAGAGAAGGAGTCTGTACCCGAGTCTGTACCCCAAAGTGGTAAGGCTGTTAGTCTTGAATCCATTACTTTTAGTTAATATTAAACGAATGAATTACCACCAAATACAATTGTTAACATTGTTTTGTATTTTTCTTTGCACAGGTTGCGTTCCAGTACCTTACTTTGACAATAAGAGAAAACAAGCTGCTTTTGTCTTCCATTCCCTGCTAACAAAGCCAGAGGTGATCTGTTTGTTATCTACAACATGTCTGGAGTGCCACAAAGTAGCAACCATGAAACTGTTCAATGTCACTTCAGACAAACCTCTGCAACTCGACGAGTTTGAAGTCATGCAGTTTCAAGTACACACTCAGGTATTTTGGTAAAGGGGATCTTTTATATATATCATACTGGGATAAATACAGATCTTTAGAAGCAGTGGATCTATTTCTCCCTCTGCAGATAAACTTGTTTCTAAGAGAAACGTGGATAACCACGCTGAGCAACAGCATCTGTTCCAAGCTTGGGGTCCTGGGCAGGGGCTCTTATAACGTCAATGAGTCCCGCTGGGACATGTACAAGTTTTCCAAGATGCCCAGCCTGATGGCTAGGGTGCGCTTCAACATGCAGGACTCCCTGCGCTTCCTTGTGCAGGATTCATTGGCCAGCCTGACTCAGCTGCTTTTAGATGCCTGCCACAATGTGCTGACATGTCCTCAGGAACTGGTCTGGGGAAACGACCTTATCACAAGCCCCTACAAGTAAGATAGTATGCACATCAATTAATAAAATGACAGCACATTTGCAATCAGATAAACAGCTAAGCACCCCTTTGCACTCCTCTTCCATTGTATTTCATGAGTATACCTTTGAGCCTGTTTTATATTTTGTATGCTCTGCAATTGTAATGAGTGTTTGATGTGAGTAAGACATAACAAGTTACTTTCAGAATACTCAGTTTTGTGTTGGTAATTATAAATCATTCCCAAAAACAAGGCCAAAGAAGAACCCTCTGTTCCTGGTGGACTTGGTACTTGATCAGACTGGGGTCCATTACAGCCCTCCTCTGGAAGGTTTTGAGCCATCCATCATTAACCTTTTTGATAAGGGTATTTTGGTTACAAAAAATGTACCACAGCTTGAAAAGGTAAACTAAAATCTGCAATCACACGAGATACAGATAGTTGAATTAAAGATGTGAATATGAGGATGTGAAACTTGTTAACTGGGAGCTCCTTATCGATTGATGATAACAATCATATACAGAATATGCTCAAAGTGGCGATGATGTTGAGGATTCAATTTGACCTCTCTTGTCCATGACAGTTTGTGATGAAAAATTTGGTATTCACCGATGATCTGTTGCTTGACTCGGTGAGTTTGCGGGAATCAGAAGTAACTGAGCTAAGAGAGAAGGTCCGCAGTGTCGTGAAACAAGCAGCCATTCCGCTCAGGGCTTACGCTGCTGAATATGAGAAACACTTGGAGCTACACAACCTGGACATAGAAACTCATCTCAAGTAAGTCTGTTTATATTACTTTGGTCATTTCTCCTACAGGTGTATAGAGGTAGTCATTCTGGTTTATGTTCTACTCTTCTAGTTTTCCTCTATTAGTCCTCTATTAGTCCTCATTTCATCTTCTTTTCCAGATTGAATACAAATGCAGAAATCACATCCCAAATAGTGAAGAGAGAGGTGGAACAGCATCTAAAAGACCAGGAATTAATCAAATACACCCTGCCAGCCTCGATTGTCATCGGCCCATTTGTAGTCCGTGTCGAAGCTGTGCGTCAGGCTCTCGCAAACAAAAAAAAGTCTTTGGCCAACGCTATGTTGGAACAGCTTGCTCACAAGTTACGCAAGCAGGTTGATGATGTAAGTTATTTATTTAAAAAAATGTATAATGTAGGGGATTTATGTTCAGTAAATGTAAACAAAACACATCAATTAACTTCATCTTGAAAGTGACCCTCACCTGCTTATTAGCTTGCATGACGTTTGTATCTTGTCTGTGTGTGTACAGGTGTGTGAAGAGTATAATGTAATGATTAGAAAGCTGCGTGAGAAGCCCAACAGCATTGAGGAACTGACTGAAAAGAGGGACTGGATGAAGCAAATCCCTGAACAGCTCAAGATTTACAAGGTTCAAAGACAGAAACTGTCTATTCCAGTTCTGTTAAATCTGAATAATTTATTTTCGAACAAATCTGCTTAATTTTTAATTAAAATGTTCAACAGGAACTCATTGACAAAACCCTGACAGATTATGATCTACTTGAAGAATCTGTAAGAATTTCAAACGACGATTTAAACAAAAAGTAAGTGTTACTTCTTCAGGATAATTTAAAAACAAATCTGTTTAGTGTCATTTGGGATCAAGAGCGATTTGTTTGGTTGATAGTGAGTAGAGGGACGTGGAGAGTTATCAATGTGATGCTTAAGTAATTTATCTGTGCAGGTGGTCAGCTATTGGATGGCCACAAAGGATTATCAGCCAGGTGGAAGTAGCAGGGATTCAAAATGAAGAGGATGAGGAGGTCTTCCGTAAAATCCAGGTGGTTGACCAGAACAACTTTGAGGAGCATCTGGATTCTCTACAGGTGAGCTGTAATATCTGACCTCGTGTCAACAATTTAAAAATTCACATGCTCAGACCTTGGTTTAATTTGTATTGAAATTTGAAATTATTTCTAATTCCTCACCTAAAGATGATATAATTTGTTCCTAAATTTGTTCCAACCGAATTTCCCCCTGGGATTAATATAGTATTTCTGATTCTTATTCTGATTCTGAAATCACCACAACTTTGTTTATAGATGTTGGTTGCTGGGTTTGCGGGCCACTCGGACATTGATCATGCCCATGAGGTGGCCAATAAGATGAGGCATACAAGCAAGCAACTTAAGGAGTGCCAGACAATGGTTCAGACCTACAACACCAGAGAACGTTTGTTTGGTAGTCCTGTCACCAATGTGAGTAAAAGAGAAACCAAAGTTATCTTTAGATAAATATTGTCATTCCATTGAAATGGGAACTGATGTACTTTTGTTGTGCCTTTCCTTTGCAAATGTGTATTACAGTATGATCGTCTGCAAAAGTTGGTAAAGGACTTCCAGCCTTTTAAAGACCTTTGGATCACCACGTCTGATTGGCTGCGTTGGTATGAGAGCTGGCTCAATGACCCACTGTCCTCCATCGACCCTGAGCAGCTTGAGCGCAATGTTTCAGATGCACACAGGACCATGCACAAATGTATTAAACAATTCAAGGACATTCCTGGTACGTCACACTTCCATCAAAAATCACAGTTAAGTCCTCCAAGCGGGCAGCCCAGGATCGAATCTGACCTGTGGCTCCTCTCTTTTTCTAGCCCAAAAATAAACCTTTAAAAAAAAAAGAAAAAAAAGTGAAGTACAACAATTTGTTTGTTTGATGTGTATTTTACCTTTTACACTTTCTTGTGTTACCCCACAATAGACAGCCAGCTGGTGGCAACTGTGATCCGCAGCAAGATTGAGGACTTCCGTCCTTATATTCCTCTGATTCAGGGCTTGAGGCACCATGGGATGAAAAACCGCCACTGGGACATGCTTTCAGAACGGATTCAGATGAAAGTCAAGCCCAAAGCTAACCTGACATTCTCACGTTGCCTGGCGCTTGGCCTACAGAACCATGTGGATGACATAGCACATGTTGCTGAGGTGGCAGGAAAAGAGTACACCATCGAACAGGTACTTTTGAGCAGCACTTTAAGGGCAGTGTTTTATTCATTGTTAAGACGTGTATTGTAAAAGATGTCTGATCAATTCATTGTGAAGTTGGATCTGAAAAGATTGAATAGGATTCTGTTAAAACACTATAATCTCCTTTGTGAACAAAATATTGGAAGTAGTTATGCATGTCAACACAGTAGGAGCAGTTCAGGGGGAGTTACACCAATGCTTGCTAATGAGTAAGCTTTTTTAAATGAATACAACCCAACTCACTTTTCTTTTGATCAATAAGTCATTGTGGGAATGTCAACTTTAAATTAACGGGCTGCTTTTTTTTCCAAACCTGGCTTGTAGGCCCTGGAAAAGATGGAGCAAGAGTGGGCGAATGTATTCTTTGATGTGTTGCCTTACAAGGAGACAGGCACCTACATCTTAAAGAGCCCAGATGAAGTTTCCCAGTTGCTGGATGACCACATAGTCATGACCCAGAGCATGTCCTTCTCTCCCTTCAAAAAGACCTTTGAAGCCCACATCAACACCTGGGAGAGCAAGCTCAGAATGACTCAAGTACTCACAGACTCACTTCAAGTTTAGTTGTCTTGTATTATTAAAATGCCGTGTCTTATGCTGTGCTACTGCCCTCGTCTGTTGCTTGTAGGATGTGCTAGAGGAGTGGCTTACATGCCAGCGTTCCTGGCTCTACTTGGAGCCAATTTTCAGCTCTGATGATATCAACCAGCAGCTGCCCGTTGAAGGAAAAAGATACCAGAAAATGGAACAAGCTTGGAGGAGAACAATGAAAAGTGCCTTTAATAATCCAAAGGTCAGATTCTCCTAAAGACACCTTAGATAGGAGGATGCTTAATCAAAATGTTTTGAAAAAAGTTACTCTAGAGCTAAAGAATGAAACTGTTGATTTCCTTGTGAAAACCTTTAGATGAATGTTTCTGGATTTTTCTGCAGGTGATAGAGATTTGTCCAGATGCTCTCCTATTAGACAAACTGAAATACTGCAACACGTTGTTAGAACAGGTACAGAAGGGTCTCAGTGAGTACTTGGAGACTAAACGAAGTTCCTTTCCCAGGTAGGCATCACCACAATTACTATGAAAGTACCCTGACTATGACTCCTTGATTCCACTTAGCATTACTTAAAGAGTTTATGCATTTATGTCACTTTTTCATATTATATTGCCACCTCATCGTCAACACTAATCAGCAAAATAAATATGCTTTAAATTCTTATAAAATGGGAAGCTATGACACCAAGAAACAAACAATAATGGTTACTTCAAGCGAGAATTGGTTAAATGATGAAACACTATTGATTATGCAGACTTAGTGAATATTTGTTTGTAGGTTTTACTTCCTGTCGGATGATGAGCTCCTCGAGATTCTGTCCCAGACCAAAGATCCTAATGCTGTGCAGCCACACTTACGCAAATGCTTTGAGAACATTGCAAGGGTTTGTTCTGGCTGGTTCTTCCTTTACTTTTTTTCTGATTTTCTTTTAGATATTACTTAAAATGCAATACGCATGCTGCCTGTGATAAACCTCTTCTGTCGGTTTTCAGCTTAAATTCCAGTCAGATCTACAGATCACTCACATGTACTCAGGAGAAGGTGAGGAAGTGAAGCTGTTCCTGCCTGTGTGGCCGACTGGAAATGTGGAGGACTGGCTTAAGGATGTTGAGAAATCTATGAAGGCCACATTGAGGGATAATATTGACCACTCTCTCAAAGTCTATCCTGAGGTCTGAAACCCTCCTCTTGTATAACATTTTTGTGCAATTTCAAGCTGAGGCATATTTAATATGTGCAGTTTATGTTTGATCTGTACTTTCTCTCTTGACCCTTCAGCAACCTCGTACAGAGTGGGTCTTATCATGGCCTGGCCAAGTAGTCATCGCTGGCTGTCAGGTCTTCTGGACCACTGAGGTGTCTGAGGCCTTGGAGCAGGGAGACATGGCCAGCCGCCTTTATCCACAACTACAGACACAGGTATAAACAATTTCTGTTTTATTTTATTAACATTTACACCAAACATCATGCACATGGCAGTTTACCCCAAACTTTATGTTGATATTCTTAACATTTTCACATCTGTTTCTGAAGCTCGGGGACTTGGTGCAGCTAGTGAGAGGAGGTCTGTCAAAGATGCAGCAATCTGTGCTCTCTGCACTTATTGTCATAGAAGTGCATGCTAAGGATGTTGCAGCCAAGCTGGTGGAGCAGGAGGTCTCAAGCGTCAATGATTTTGAGTGGATCAGCCAACTCAGGTTATCTTTTGATGTTTTTGGCCTGTCTTTTTTTGGCTTTTAGTTGTATCACTCCTTTCACACCTTTTTGCAATTCTGTGCGCAGAATAAGTTGGATACTGCTCTGTTTGTAGATATTACTGGGCAAAAGATGACCTTTACATCCGTGCAGTAAATGCAGAGTTTTTGTATGGATACGAGTACCTTGGTAACTCTGGACGTCTGGTCATCACCCAGCTCACTGACAGGTAGTTGTTTAGTCTTAGTTATCCACTCAGCTTTAGCTCAATGCCACACAGCATTTTAAATACACCATTTCCTGCATCCTTCAGGTGCTACTTGACCCTAACAGGAGCTCTACACCTGAAATTTGGAGGGGCTCCTGCAGGCCCAGCAGGTACAGGAAAAACAGAAACGACTAAAGACCTGGGAAAGGCTCTGGCTATCCAGACCGTTGTTTTCAACTGCTCTGATCAGCTGGACTTCATTGCAATGGGCAAGTTTCTCAAAGGACTGGCAACGTGAGTTAATAAAGTGGGAAAAATGTATCAGTACCAAGTAGCTTGAGTTTTTTTTGCTGTTCAATAATACAAATCTTCTTTTAATCATATTTATGCTTTTTGTTTTAGCTCAGGGGCCTGGGCTTGCTTTGATGAGTTTAATCGTATTGATGTGGAAGTGCTGTCTGTGGTGGCACAGCAGATCACCACCATACAAAAGGCCCAGCAGCAAAGGGTGAGATGCTGTTTAACTAAGAATTCACACTCTGGGACTGACTGCACTTATTAACAGAAAACTATAGTTATACATGTACTCTCTGTATTTACAGGGAGAATGTTTTCTATTTGACAATTGTACTTGTGCATAATGTTAAGTTGAATAATGGTCAGGTCGGCTTATGGAGGAAGCATAAAGACTTTTTTATGCAACACTATAGAAGCATACTTCTATAGTGATGCTTAATAAAACAGAACTATGACAATGCAAGTAGAAAGTTTAACATCATGTTGTGTTTTAGTATTGTAGGACTACAGAATAATGTAATATGAACCTAATATACAACTCTTACAAGAATTGTATTTTAATTGCATATATGCAAGTGATTTTAATTTTTTTGTGCAAAAGGAAGTTTCAAATGTTTACAATTTTTTTTACAAGTGTTTACAATTTTCAAAATCAGTGTGTTTGTGATGTGTCTTTAGGCAGAACGGTTTATGTTTGAAGGGTCAGAGATCCCTCTTGTTCCTTCTTGCGCTGTGTTCATCACTATGAATCCTGGATATGCTGGGCGCACTGAACTTCCTGACAATCTCAAGGTTTGAAAATGCCATCTGAAATTGAATAACTGTTTATCCCTGAGGGCGAACAGATGAGGTTTACAATACAGGAGTTTCTATTTTCTACAGGCCCTGTTTCGCCCCGTGGCCATGATGGTCCCTAACTACGCTATGATTGCTGAGATCTCTTTGTACTCATTTGGCTTTAGTGATGCCAAAGTCCTCTCCAAGAAGATCACCACCACATTCAAACTCTCCTCTGAACAGCTGAGCTCTCAGGTACTGTATGGGTTCAGAGGATGTCAGAAATGGGACTTGTTTAAACTCAATGTACTTTATGTACGCCAAGAAAATGTGCTATGGGTCCAATGAAGTGAGTATACATGAAACAGAAAGCAAATTAAACTCACATATTGTAAAATCTTGTAAATTGATACAGACCTCTGACTTTTTTCACCTTGTACAACTTTAGACTTAAAAAAATCTGGCCTACAGCGCATAGTTACATAGATATTGGTAAAAGATGAAGTGAGTATGTACATAAGATAACAAACCTTTAAAAATGTTGTGTATTTTCTTGTTTTAATAAAGGATCATTATGATTTTGGAATGAGAGCTGTAAAGACTGTGATCTCAGCTGCTGGCAATCTGAAGAGAGAGAATCCTGACATGAATGAGGTTAGAAATATGAAAGTATAAGAAATACTGACCCAAATTGTAAGTTTCTTTCTAAACTCTACCTGTCCTATGATTGCTTATGTATGTGATTGCTTGCTGTCTCCCAGGAGTTGATCTGCCTGCGGGCAATACAAGATGTCAATGTGCCTAAGTTCTTACAGGATGACCTGAAGCTCTTCAACGGTATCGTGTCCGATCTTTTCCCAAAGACTAAGCAGGAACCGATCAACTATGGCACACTCGAAGAATCTATGCGTAACGTCTGCATCAAGAAAAACCTCAAAGATGTTGATGGTAAGTGATTTTGGGTACAGAAAATATATTTTGATGCACCTGTTTTCTCATGAAGAGGAGGTCACAGTATTTTGTTGATTGTAGGATATATCAGTAAATGTATTCAGCTGTATGAGACCACAGTGGTGAGGCATGGACTGATGTTGGTGGGGCCCTCTGGATCAGGGAAAACCAAGGTGAGTCTTTGACTTTTCCCAGCTTAATTCACTTTTTCCAAAAGAAAACAATGACATTACTTTTTCAGTGTATAGTTCTTCATGTAAGTTTAATGTTACATTTGTTAGTGTTATGAGATACTAGGTGCTGCAGTAACAGCTCTGAAGGGCGAGCCCTCTGTGAGTGGAGGCATGTATGAATCTGTTCAGATGTATGTCCTCAATCCCAAGTCTATCACAATGGGACAGCTCTATGGAGAGTATGACTTGCTCACACACGAGTGGTAAGAACTACAAATAGCAAACTACAGTACAAAGACAAAAACTCTGAGATTGACTTAACACTCGCTTTGCTTTTTTGTCCATCCCTATAGGACCGATGGTATCCTCTCATCTCTTATCCGTGGAGGTGCATCATCGATGGACGAAGAGAAAAAGTGGTACATGTTTGATGGGCCAGTGGATGCTGTATGGATTGAGAACATGAACACAGTGCTGGATGACAACAAAAAACTGTGCCTCAGCTCAGGAGAAATCATTAAACTGACAGATGTAAGGTTAAGCTTTCACATTCTTTGTTTATTTCTCTTGTGCTGATTCTGTCAAATGTATACCCAGGCATTCTGTGTCCTTACTTCTGTAGGTGATGACCATGATGTTTGAAGTACAAGACTTGGCAGTTGCATCTCCAGCCACAGTGTCTCGCTGTGGTATGGTCTACCTGGAGCCAAGTATTTTGGGCCTTGTCCCTTTCACAGAGTGCTGGCTGAGGCGGATCCCTGAAGCCATGAAACCTTTCACAGAGCAGCTGAACTCCCTGTTTGCCAGGTTCCTGCAGGTCAGAGGGGAGACTAGCAAGATATTTAAATATGTTTTTAACCAAGTTTATTATGATAGGTAAAAAAGGCTCCTGACAGCAACTTTCATCTTTTGTAGATTTTGATGAGCCCTGTGTTCAAAGTGGTTTGATTTTTCTCTGTTGATTTTGTCCACTAAATGTAGTGTAGTTTCTGACAAAAGTCATCCTTATCACTCACTGTGCATGTTTTTCTGTGATTACAAACACTAGAAATGACTCTATACTAATACTCATACTTATTGCTGGTGTTTCTTGTTTGCTTTTGAAGCTCATAAAGAGGCATCATTATTATTTCCGGTCTTTTTATAACTACTTAAATACTCCTCACAGGGGGTCTAATGATTGTTATACTTTTGTCTTTTTTTACACAGGACTCCATCAAATGTGTCCGAACATCAGTAAAGGAGGTCATTACATCTTTGGACAGCAACCTGACATGTAGTCTTCTTAAACTAATGGACTGCTTCTTCAATCCCTTCAAAGTTAAAGAGGTTTGGAATCATATTTATGTTACAATCACCCATTATTGAAAATACAGTATATTGATTTCTGTACAAATATTCTTCTTTACTTCTTTAAAACTAAAGGTTTGATGTGTCTTATTTGTTATTGAAATACCCATCCTGTGCTGAACTATTTTTTTTAAATACAGACGCTGCTCTGTTATTGAAAATGATGTAGTGTTTTCTTGCCTCTACTCTGTTTCAGTACATGTTGTTCATGCTCTGATATTTCTTCAACATATCACTGTAATTTAACAAACTTCCCACATTAAGACCAATATGCAGCGAGCTACTGAAATCACCCTGGAGTTGAGGAAAGACCTGTTGCTTATGTGAGTATCTGTGATCCCCTCTTTAACACCTTACTGTTCTGTAGGGAGAAAAGCCTCCTCCAAAAAAGAAATTGGACCGCCTCAAGGAGCTGATCGAGCCCTGGTTCTTCTTCTCTCTGGTGTGGAGTGTAGGAGCGACAGGAGATGGAGCTAGCTGTAGGCGCTTCAGTGCCTGGCTCAAAAACAAGATGGCAGAAGAAGAGGTCAGTCTCAGGTCATATCAGCATCTGTGCTTTAACATCCAAATACATTATTAGTTTTAATTTCTAGCCACCTGTAAAAAAAGGGAAATGTCTCTAGCCACCTTTTACAGATTGATTTATCATAACGAAGGAATATATGTTTTTTTTAACACAATGTGTTTGTCCTTTAGATTCAGCTTTGTTTTCCAGAGGAGGAACTGGTGTATGACTACAGGCTTGATGATGCAGGGATAAGTAATTTTGAGGATGACGATGAAGATGAGGACCGAAAAGTAAGTCGATGATGCATACAGGTGTTTCACGAAACTAACACCATAGGATGTATAGTTTCTTTTATATATTTTCCTGTACTGTAGGTCCAGTGGGCAAGCTGGATGAAATCTGCAAAGAGTGTTGTTATCACCCCGAACACAAGCTATGCTGACATCATCGTTCCCACTGCTGACACTGTGAGAATGGCTTTCCTCATGGATATGCTTTTGGCCAATAAGAAACCTGTGAGTACTGCGATAACACACATTGGTCTACAAACAATTTTGAATACTTACATAAATATTGAAATGATTTATTTCCCTTGAGAAGTCACCATAAAACCAGACTGGTTGAAGTTCTTGGCTTTCATTTCATTTGGCTTTCAATAAACGTACTGCTGGACAGAGCCTAAAGTATGCCCTTTGGACAAAAATTTAGAATTACGACTTCCAGAATGAGGAACCTTCACAGACCATTACATTACTTTTACAATTCAATGTGTGTGTGTTCCAGGTGCTCTGTATTGGGCCCACAGGCACAGGAAAGACCCTGACCATGTCTGACAAGCTGCTGAAAAACATGCCTGCTGAATACATCACACACTTCCTCATGTTCTCTGCCCGCTCCTCAGCCAACCAGACTCAGGATTACATTGACAGTAAACTAGATAAAAGGTGGGCTTTTACTGCTAGACTTTGTCTAGCCCGCTACACATCATCTACAAAAATAATATACTTGTGACCAACCATTTCAATCCTTTATGTGTCTGTTGTCAGGCGGAAAGGTGTGTTTGGACCTCCATTAGGGAAGTACTTTATCTTCTTCATCGATGACCTAAACATGCCAATGTTGGAGACCTATGGTGCTCAACCTCCTATTGAACTGCTGAGGCAGTGGATGGACCACAGAGGCTGGTATGACAGGAAACAGATAGGTTGGTATTTAGCGTCTTATTTACCTACCAGTATGTGTGGCTCTAGAGTGCATCTTTATGCCTAAAAACATATTCCTCATTACTATTAGAGATAGATCCGGATTTTGGTTTTCATTCCTGAATGTGAAATATCTCATTAACCCCCACAGGGACTTTCAAACACATAGTGGACATCAATTTTGCCTGTGCAATGGGACCCCAGGGGAGGCAGGAACCCCATCACCCAGCGCTTTACACGCCACTTCAACTTCCTGTCCTTCACTGAAATGGAGGATGCCAGCAAGAAAAGGATTTTTTCCACCATTTTGGGCAGTTGGATGGGTCAGTTATGGACGCTCGTCTGTTTGGATTTACATGCAGGACAGGTGTTTCAGGGTAGAAAGTACTGTCATTAGCCTGTGAAAAAGAAACCAACAACAGCTTTTAACTGAATCTTTGCTCTTTTTCAGATGGAAATATGAGTAAAAAAGAGCCAGGAAGTAAGTCAGGGACTAAGAGATAACAAACAGACAGAAATTAATGTATGAGAAAATGCAGTTTGATAATAAGAATAAGTTGGTATAGTAAGTAAGTAAGTAAGTAAGTAAAGTTTATTTTTATAGCACCTTTCAAGAACAGACGTCACAAAGTGCTTCACAATAAAGAATTGAACAGAGAACATACAAACAGACAGTCACATAAAATCTAATACAGACAGTTCAAACTAAGGCAAGTCTGAACAGATGGGTCTTTAGCTGCTTTGTATAGCACACATGGTATAAAACATATAAAACACATAATATTGTTATTATAATAAAATAATTGTCAATAAAAGTATTTTTATTGCTGGAGCATACGTTCTGTTCTCTCATGTAACTGTTTCAATTTTCCACATGTTAGTAGATTTTTTAGTTCTCTCCTATTTGCTGCTGCTTTCACCAGGACCCGTGCCAGAAATCCAGCCGCTGAATGAGTCCCTGGTAGACGCTACTATCAGAGTCTACGCTACCATTACATCTCAGCTCCTCCCAACACCGGCCAAATCCCATTACACCTTCAACCTCAGAGACCTGTCCAAAGTCTTCCAGGGCATCCTGATGGCTGAGGCTGGAATGATGGAGGTTGTCTTATCCCACAGACTCAATTTCATATGCCACAATCAGATGACTTTTATGATATAGATTATTTAAATTTACTTTCAGGTTTAGCCTCTTGATCAATAGGTACAAACAATCTGAGCCAACTACAACTACAAGTGAAGCAACTACGAAAAGCATTGATATTGTATGGCTTATGTCACCTAGAGGATACATGCAACTGATCTTATTGGAACCCTAGAAATATGATGTATGAGGAAGTGTGGATTAAAGGGAAATGTCGGAAGAATTGAAAGGGTTCATCTTTACATTTCAATTGTAAAAGTAACATTATTTGGATGATTTTAGGACAAACTGCAGCTACTGCGGCTGTGGTACCATGAAAGCTGCCGGGTATTCCAGGACCGCTGGTGTGTACTGAAGACAGGGACTGGTTTAACCTGCTCCTAAAGGACTGCATTCAGAAGTTTGACTGCAGCTTTGACGAGGTTGTGCCAGTCCAACCTGTTTTATATGGAGATTTCATGATTCCTGGAGCTGACAACAAAGTCTACACACTCATAGAAGACAAGGAAAAGGTGATTGGTTACAACTGGTTTGATATGGTCTTATTTTAAGATTTATTTTTATTTTTGCCAAACAGCTGACCAGCTTGTTCAAGGGTAGTTCCATTGTTCTTTCTACCCATCGTCAATGTTTTTGTTCCACTCAATGTTTTTGTTCCACACCAACTATATTTCACAACAAAATGGTTGCTTTTTAAAAACATTTTTAAATGATTTATGTATTAGTTGGTGAAAGTGATGGAGGAATACATGGAGGACTACAACCAGATCAGTACCACCAAGATGAAGCTGGTGCTCTTCATGGATGCTATTGAGCATGTGTGTCGTATCAGCCGCATCCTGCGCCAGCCCCTGGGCAACGCCCTGCTGCTTGGAGTGGGCGGCAGTGGACGCCAGTCCCTTACTAAGATGGCCTCATATATGTGAGATTCACACTCTCTTTGCAACACTTATACCAAAATACAATTATCATTTAATCTGTGTCTCCAGATTACTGCTGCTGTAAGGATCCCATTGCTGTTTTTTTAATATTGTCTTTTCTAAGGTTAGGTTACAGCTTTTTTTTTCCAAAGCATGTTCGGCTTTTAAGATTGATGTACCTCTCCACAGGCAGCTGTATGATTCCATCAATTTCAGCATACTATGAAATCTGGAAAAACATTGAATTAGATCAATCATCACAGGGTTGCCTCTGTTTTTGTTCAGAGTGGTATTTCATGACAGTGTAGTTAAAGTTCATATACAAGCTAAGAGAAGACTCAAAAAGTGTTGAAAAATATTTTTTATAAAGTTTTTGATCAACTGAAAACAATGAATTTATGGATATATATAAATATTCTTCATGCATAAGTATTGGACTTAAACATCTTGTAGCCAATTTATGGAGCCTTGTTTTCTACAATCAGGTCAGAGTATGAGTGTTTCCAGATTGAGTTGGCCAAAAACTACGGTCAGACAGAGTGGAGAGAAGATATTAAAAGCATCATGCTGAAGGCCGGCCTCCAGGACCAGCAGATCACCTTCCTCTTTGTTGACACACAGGTAAACACAATCTGTGTCTTATCACCTTCTACATTATACTCTATACAACCACACAGTCCTTTAGACTGCACTGTTATTTTACAGTATGAACTACACAAACAGCAATCCTACACAGTGGTTATACTGACTGCACTTATTTGGGGTCAGTTTGTTTGAGAGTATGAACTTAAATTAAAGTTGATCATCTACGCAGTAATGTTTGTCTGTTCGCACCAGGACAGAAGGCTTATCATTGCGTTTGTGTTATTCTCCCAGATTAAGAGTGAGTCGTTCCTGGAGGATATCAACAACATTTTGAACTCTGGAGATGTTCCCAACCTGTACGCGTCAGACGAGCAGGAACGCATCCTAGCAGCCATGAAGCCAGTGGTGCAAGATCTGGGCCAACAGCCAACTAAATCCAACCTCATGGCTGCTTACATCAGGAGAGTCCGCACCAACATCCACACTGTGCTTTGCATGAGGTTAGCAATTGTTCAAAACATACATGATCAAACGTTAACCAAGATAATTCCTTTGAGCTTGTCCATCACCCTCCTCCCTATCCCCCCCCCCGCCCCCCCGCCCCCCTGCCCTTCACCTTCACTTTTTCCTCCACAGTCCTATTGGTGAGGTGTTTCGTGCCCGGCTCAGGCAGTTTCCCTCTCTGGTGACATGTTGTACCATAGACTGGTTCAGCGCCTGGCCAGAAGAGGCTCTTCAGGCTGTTGCCACATCATTTCTTAATGAGTTGCCTGAGCTTGAATTAAGCCCGACAGCTACAAGAGGACTGGTGAGGGTGATGTTTGTGTGTTTATTTGTGTGTGGATGTTAGAAAGCTTTACTGGCAGGAAGTTCTCAGCAGGGAGGTACTTTACATTGAAATATTTACATCATTTAAATAATATTGTATAGAAACCAACTTAATCATTCCATTAAACAAAACAACAAGGTGAATATGATATGACAGAGAATAGTCTGCACTGTTAGTTTGAGCCAGATTTATAGTTTGTGTTGACTCTGGAGTAATTCAGGCCAAGTAACAGAAACAAGAGTTTGCAAACAGTTGAAGCAGTAAGCGCACAGTGATGCAAAACATTCTCAAGCAACTTTCAAACCACTGAAAGCAAAATATTATCTTGTTAAATAAATACAAAATATTGGCTGCTTACAAAAGGAAAAATAACTCCCAAAATAAAAATGATCATAAAGCGTTGTCTTCTCCTGACGGTTTCCCTTCTTCCAGACACTGATGTGTGTTAAGATCCACCAGACAGTAGCCATTAAGTGTGAACAGTACCTGGCTGAGCTTTCGCGGCACAACTACGTCACTCCCAAGAGTTACCTGGAACTGCTCAAAATATTCTCAGATCTCATTGGACGTAAGAAGCAAGAGTTGTGTGGTGCTCGTCTGCGCATGAAGACTGGCCTGGACAAGGCAAGGCATCTTAATGATGATTATACAAAATAAACATAAAATAAACAAAAGACCTAGAAGTTCGATTTATCATGTGTAGTGCATGAGTTGTAAGCATTCTTATCTGACTACCTGCTGTCTTGTAGCTTCTTAGCACAGCTGAGGACGTGAGTAATATGCAGGAGGAACTGGAGGCGATGAGACCTCTTTTGGAGGAGGCTGCCAAGGACACCGAAGTCACTATGGAGACCATCAAAGTAAGAAATAAAAAGAAACATTTCTGAAATGTGAATGAACTGAAACTCTTTGTTTTCATGACCAAAATGGAACAAAAGAGTGGGCAGCACTGGACACTATAAAGCGTTTCTCCCATGTATGTTCATCTGTGGTCCTTGATTGTCATTTCTTCTGTACACTGCCAGGTAGACACAGTGGTTGCAGAGGAAACCCGTAAGTCAGTACAAGCCGAGGAAGCCAAAGCTTCAGAGAAAGCCCGTTTTGCAGGAGCCATCGCTGCAGATGCCCAGAGAGACTTGGATGAGGCTCTGCCAGCCCTGGATGCTGCTCTCACGAGCCTCAAGTCCCTCAACAAGGGTGATGTCACCGAGGTCAGAGAGTTTGATGATGATTGGTTTTACATTCTTCAAATGGGATACTGTTTGCATGTAAAAGATATGAATTACCGATAATTGTTGTTTTTTTTCTTATAGTTACGAGCGATGCAGCGACCTCCACAGGGGGTGAGGCTGGTTATCGAGGCGATGTGCATTATGAAAGGTATCAAACCCAAAAGAGTTCCTGGAGAGAAGCCTGGTACTAAGATTGATGACTACTGGGAACCTGGCAAGGGTCTGCTGCAAGACCCTGGCAAGTTCCTGGAGAGCCTCTTCAAGTATGATAAGGTAAAGCACACATCAGGTTGATTTATTATTGACATGTTTTACTATTAATGGGGAATTTTTAACTTTTTTTTCAGGAAAAAGAGTTATGCCTCTTTTAATTTGGTTTTATACTCTTGAATTATATTACATCCAGTGTTTGTTGCATCATTTCCTGCTTGAGTTGTATTAAGAGCAGGTTTTTTTCCCCAATTATCAATTCTGCAGGAGAATATCCCGGATAGTGTGATAAACTTAGTCCAGCCCTACATAGATAATGAGGAATTCCAGCCAGCCTCCATTGCCAAGGTTTCCAAAGCCTGTACCTCCATTTGCCAGTGGGTGCGGGCCATGCATGTTTATCATTTTGTGGCTAGGGCTGTGGAACCTAAAAGGGTAAATACAAATATCTACATTGTTCAATATCTTGTTTAAGACACATTTTTCCTAAATGTGTTCAAATAAGAGAGTCAGTTTGTCACTAAATTTCTAAATATTTTCACAGCAAGCTCTCAAAGAGGCTCAGGAAGACTTAGCGGCTACCCAGCTCATCCTGGATGATGCCAATGAAAAGCTGGCAGTAGTGGAGGGAGGCATTGCCACCCTGCAGGCCAAGTACCAAGCCTGTTTGGCAAAGAAGGACGAGCTGGACAATAAGTTTCAGTTGTGTGGAGCCCGCCTCGTCCGAGCAGACAAGGTCAGGGCTATGGATAAGACAAGATAAGATAAAACTCTCTTAATTTAAAGGAAGAAATGTAAGCATTTTTGTGGCACAAGAAACAGAGTGATGGTGAACAGAGTACACATAGGTAGAAAATAAATGAAAAATAAAATTTCAGGGAAAACCAATAATGAAGTGCCATAAGATACATTAAATGTAGGAATATATGTAGACTATTTTCTGTGGATAATCAGTGCAATCAAGAGTACAGTGCCAATGTGTTTTAGGAAATATATTACTGAATATGTTTTTTCATTTTTCTTCATGTTTATTTTTTCTCCAGCTTATAGGTGGTCTTGCAGATGAGAAGGTGCGTTGGAAGGAAACAGTACAACATCTGGATTACATGGTTAATAATTTGGCAGGTGACGTGCTGCTGTCTGCAGGATATATAGCATACCTGGGACCCTTCACTGTAAGTTGGTTGTACCTCAGTGATTAGAAAGTTGAAAGTTGCATTTACTTTATAGTTATCGTATCATAAATGACTGAATATGATTCATTTAATTCAGTGATTGTTGACTAGTCAAAAGTAAGTTTTGATAAGTTCCTTTCTGCCTGTTGATATAACTCAAACTAAAACTTGATTAAACCAGAAATCTGAACCTTACTGTTTGATACTGTTGGAGACAAAAGTACAAGTGTAGATTTTTGTTGGAAAGGCCTTGTGTGTGACTGTCTCTGTGTGGCCCTTGACTTGCAGTACATGTGTTTGTGCTCAACAGTTCAGCATTATTGCATGATTTCATAAAGGTTCATTTGTGTGTGTTTAGGGCGAGTACAGGGCAGCCATGGCAGAGGAGTGGCTTATTTGTTTCAAAGAGCTAAGTGTCCCGCACACTGAAGAACCAAACCTGATCAGCACTCTTGGAGATCCAGTCAAGATCCGTTCCTGGCAGGTTAGAAACAAGCTTTCATGATCTGACTTTCAGGGTCTACACTTCTTAAGACCGATCTTAACTGTTACATGAGAATAAGAATAGTCAGATCATCAGGCTGACTGGTATGTGCTTTTAGACCCTAATTAACTAGGCTATTTTCTTTTATCACGCTTTTGAACACTGTCATTTCTATGTGCATAGATATCAGGATTGCCAAAAGACAACCATTCAGTGGAGAATGGTGTGATTACGCAGTATTCTCTGCGCTGGGCACTCTTCATTGATCCTCAGGGACAAGCAAACACATGGATCAAAACTATGGTGAGAACACTTTTCTGTTGATCATACCGAGACTACAGAGGGTGCCAGTGAGACAAAAAAACTCATCAAAGACACCACATCAAGATTTTAATTCATCCCTTCCCACCACATGTGAACCTTATTCACCACTATCAACAAATGAAAAAGCAGACTATGTAGATGCTAAATATGATAAAGAAGGTTCAGTACAAACACGGGTGCCTGCTTTGGTTGTGTATTGTTGTTTTTTTGTCTCTTACTCACATCATCCACAACTGCTATGGAAAGCCTCTTTATATCTGAAGTTTTATTTTATGCTCTGTTCATTCATTCTTGCTTCCTTTCATGATGCAGGAGCGAGACAATGGATTGGAGGCTATGAAGCTTAGTGACCAGGACTTCCTACGCAGTCTGGAGAATGCCATCAGCTTTGGGAAACCCTGCCTCCTGGAGAATGTAGGAGAGGAGTTGGATCCAGCCCTAGAACCTGTCTTGTTACAACAGGTAAATACACACACATATGTTCCAAATAATCATTACCCGTATTGTATGTTAGCATTATGCAAATATCTACCATATACTGATCTGTTATGCCCATTTTGGGCCTGTAGACATTTAAGCAGCAGGGCAATACAGTGCTGAAGCTGGGCGACTCAGTCATCCCTTACCATGAAGACTTCAAGATGTACATTACCACCAAGCTACCTAACCCACACTACACTCCAGAAGTTTCCACCAACGTCACCCTTATAAACTTCACTCTATCACCCAGGTATGCATTTTCAGACAAAAGCTAAATGTATTTCTTCATAATATTGATCTTATTTTGGTAGGTACTTCTGTCTGTGCCACATGTATGTATTTATGATGATGCTATTTAAACAAGCTGCCTAAATTTGTGCTTATGTATTAATGCTTGATAAAAGATTTGGTAGATCAAGAACAATGGTTGTGACTGTTTTCGGGACAGAAAACCCTTGTTTTTTCAGATCCAAGTTTAAGTTTTTTTGTATATTTACAGTGGTCTAGAGGACCAGCTGCTGGGTCAGGTTGTGGCTGAGGAACGTCCAGACCTTGAGGAGGCTAAGAACCAGCTGATTGTCAGCAATGCTCAGATGAAACAGGAGCTAAAAGAAATTGAGGATGAGATTCTGTTCCGTCTGAGCTCCACAGAAGGAAACCCTGTGGACAATGAAGAGCTCATCCAAGTCTTGGAGGCTTCCAAGATTAAAGCAGGAGAGATCAAGGTCAGTTCGTCGTTCAAACCTTTTGTTTTTAATTTCAGTGCTATCCCAAAACAACCTCATGTATGATACCTTTGCCATCAAATAAATAATCCACTTTTCTTGTATTTTCTTTTTACACGATTATTTGGGCAGGCTAAAGTGATAGCAGCAGAGCAGACAGAGAAGGACATTGATGCCACACGTTTGGAGTATGTGCCAGTGGCTGTGCGCACACAGATCCTCTTCTTCTGTGTATCTGACCTGTCCAATGTAGACCCCATGTACCAGTACTCGCTGGAGTGGTTCCTTCGGATCTTCATGGCTGGCATTGCAAACTCTGAAAGAGCAGGTAGTGAGATATTATTATAGTACACTTTACTTGGAGAAGTAATGAATCATTCTGAAACAAGAATTTGCAGGTAAAAAAAACAGAAGTGGTCTCACCAGCTAAAACTGACTTTGTCTCAACATGTCTTTCACAGACACGGTGGAGAAGAGAATCGAAAACATCAATGAATTTTTCACCTTCAGCCTGTACAGCAACGTGTGCCGCAGCTTGTTTGAGAAGCACAAACTTATGTTTGCTTTCCTCCTTTGCACTCGCATCATGATGAATGATAACAAAATTAATATGGTGAGTCACAGAATAATTTGCTGTCTCTCACTCCTCTCCTTCATTTCCTGTAAGAACCCATGCAACACATTAGTCAGTTTATTGTAAGGAAATTTGATGAGTGTGGTTCGTCTCCCTGTGGCAGGCTGAGTGGCGCTACCTGCTATCAGGAGGGATGCCGATGCAAGAGCTGACTAACCCTGCAGTGAGTTGGCTGTCAGATCGAGCCTGGCGGGACATTCTTGGCCTCAGTGCTCTGGACAACTTCAGCAACCTGGCAGAGAGCTTCCCCGAACATCTTCAGGGTTTCAAGAGAATTTTTGATAGCAACCACCCTCACAGGTGCTCGCTTGTTACCCTCATTTGTTCTGTGCAGAAGCTGTCATACTGTCTCTAACATGGTGTGCATGTAACTTTGTTTTTGACAAAGGGAGCCCCTGCCAGGCGAGTGGGACACAGAGCTGGACTCATTCCAGAGGCTGTTGGTCCTCCGCTGTCTGAGGGCTGACTGTCTCGTTCAAGGCCTGCAGGACTATGTATCAGCTCAGCTGGGACAACGCTTCATAGAACCTCAGGTAGAACACCTGTCCTTACTCTTCCTGCCTTCCTTACTTTTATGTAAAAAAAACATTTCCAATGTTTGCTGAAACACACATCTATTTTCATACATTTGACATTGAACACCCAGAAGTGTTGTAAAGTTCAATTTTGTAAGAGTTTGCTGTGGTGTAAACTTTGTTTAATAAGTAAAGAATTTACTTTGCAAACCTGGCTGGTCTAAAAATGATAGCTGGCTTTATGGCTTGTAACTTTATATTTTCCCGTCTCTCTCCAACAGACTTCAGACCTGGCTGTGGTCTTCAAGGATTCCTCCCTCTCCACTCCCCTCATCTTTGTGTTGTCCCCTGGCACTGATCCTGCAGCTGATCTTTACAAGTTTGCCGACGTCATGCAGTTCTCAAAGAAAATGAGTGCCATCTCTCTGGGTCAGGGCCAGGTCAGTGCCAGGGGGGATGCCTTGGATTTCTTTCTCTTTCTCTGACACTCTTCTCTGTCTGACCCTGGAGGAAATCACTTTCTCACAGAACCAGGCCATTCTCCTTTGTCTTGTTAAGAATGGCCACACTGGTGCTAATTGTTTCCCCTATTTGTGACAATAGCCAGGGACACTGTAATGTTCTTCTTACACATGGTAGATTTCATCACCCCACTACAACTTGTGCAGTTTTTCTGATAATTGCTGACTCACCTGCCAAACCTGAAGCGTAGGAACCAGCCAAACATTTTCACAGCAACACGCTGTCCCTGTGACTGTTTAATACATGTCATTGTGTTTGTTACATGTCTTCCAATTATTTGAGCCCAAATTGCTGTTTCACGCTTGGCACTTGCAATACCCTGTCCAAAATTTCTGTCTGCATCAAACTAAGCACACCAACTTCCTGAAAGTTTCTTAGAAGATCAAACTGGTTATCGTTAGATGAGCTGAATCTATGCTGCCTGCTCCTTAAATAAGGATCACACTTTAAGGAACTTGGATTTTACTTATCATATTAGAGGCTTACGCCTTACTTTGTAGTTTTTAGCACAGCTCTTGTTGTTGTCTTCACGTCTACCTTCTTTCTTCTTCTGCTGCTTGTGTGACTTAGGGCCCCTGGGCTGAGATCATGATGCACGCTGCAATGAAACAAGGTCATTGGGTCTTCTTCCAGAACTGTCACCTGGCTCCCAGCTGGATGCCCTCCCTGGAGAGACTCATCGAGAACATCGACCCAACAAAGGTCAGAACATCTGCATATGTATAATGCACACCCAGGTAATACAGTATGTTAGACAAACCTTTATTGACTTTACTGATGGGCACCACATTTATCTTAAACTATTAAACAGGTGCACAAGGACTTCCGCCTGTGGCTCACAAGTCTCCCCAGCAACAAGTTCCCCGTCTCCATTCTCCAAAATGGATCAAAGATGACCATCGAGCCTCCAAGGGGAATCAAGGCCAATCTGCAGAAAACCTACCTGAGACTCACCAATGACTTTATCACCTCTTCAACCAAAGTCCTGACTCACAGTCCTACTTTTTAAATTGACTTTTTATTACACGCCCTGCTATGAAAACTATGTCCAATTATGTCTTCTGTATTCCTCTCTGTTCTTTTCAGGTGACACACTTGAAGTCTTTGCTCCTTTCTCTGTGTCTCTTCCATGGAATTTCTCTTGAGAGAAGGAAGTTTGGTCCATTAGGCTTTAACATTCCCTACGAGTTCACAGATGGAGACCTGAATATCTGCATCAGCCAACTCAAAATGTTCCTGGACGAGTACCAGGACACCCCATTCAAGGTGGGGGAAAGTTTATATTTCATTAGAACCAATCAATAACAAATCTAAAGCCACACGTTTTAAATAGTGTTTATATTTTCTTTGTCTTTTTTTTTTTGTCCCTCTTTCTGTTTTATCGTCTTCACTTTAATCCTGTCCCAGTAATTCTTAATTTTCACGACATATCCATTGCTGTTCTGGCAGTAGGCATCATGAACATTCCAATGAAAATAACCTTCTGGCTCACCCTCTGCTACTTCATATTAACTGACTAAGCAACTCCCACCAAATGTACAACCTAAATTGCACTCCAGTCACTGTCACAACAAAACTGTCTTATCCACTCTGCTAGTTATGTCACACATGGAAGCTTGATGATGCAGTTTTTGCTCGGGGACTGTGACTGGCTAGTGTTGTGCAAGCTAATCCTGAACGTTTTCTGTTGTTCCGATCAGTTTATTTAAAAAGCAATAATACAAAGGGGCAGGAGCTCACAGACTCAGATCAGATCAGCATTTATTTAAAGGAAACTTTTGATTTAATATTGTTAACAATGTGCAAAGATCAAAATGTGGAATAATGTTTCCCACTGTAGCTTTAATTGCTAATGTACTTTTTTTCTTCTGATCACTGTGGAGAACTGATGTGTGAGCTTACAGAAACACAGTCCTTTGTAAGTTTCAGAAGTTTTTGTTTTAACCAGAGAATGTGTGTTACTGCTTGTTTATATGTCTGTCTTCTCTTTTTTGTCTACTGCCTGTCCAGGTACTAAGATACACTGCTGGAGAGATCAACTATGGCGGCCGTGTGACAGATGACTGGGACAGACGATGTTTGCTCAGTGTGTTGGAGGATTTCTACTCTCCCAATGTGCTTGTTGAAGAACACAACTACTCTTCATCTGGAGTCTACAGGCAGATTGACACAAATCTGGATATCAAGGTCAGATAAAGGCCTAAGACCTCAAAAGATTGTAATACAAGACATGCATTTGACTTCTCCTTTGTCTAGCATCAGTTTGTTGCACCCCTGATTGGCTCACTGGTAAGGATAGATCACTTTGACTGAAAATCACATGCTGTAGTATGTGAAGTATCTCAGTTAAATTCAAGCACAAAACGTCTGTACTGCTGAACCTCAAACAAATTGATGACAATTACTATCAGCAGTTACTATCAGTATGTGACCTCACATGGGAAATCTTACCCTAGGGTTACTTGTCATACATCCGTGGTTTGCCCATCAACGATTCACCGGAGATCTTTGGTCTCCATGACAACGCTAACATCAGTTTTGCCCAGAATGAGACTTTTGCCCTGCTGGGAACCGTGGTTCGTCTCCAGCCTAGAACGGCCTCTGCTGGGGGAAAATCTCATGAGGAGGTACAAAAATACATTGATGAAGGAGTTTTAGTACAACTTGCATAATTAAACTGACATGTTGTGCTTCATGGATGATCGTCCTCTTTTGTTCTCTAGATAGTGGAGGAGATAGTGGCAGACATCGTTGTAAAGATCCCCCAGCCTTTCAGTGTTCAGGAGGTGATGGAAAAGTACCCGGTCCTCTATGAAGAGTCCATGAACACAGTGCTCATGCAGGAGGTCATCAGGTAACACAACAGGCTGTACTATTAGATAACAACATAAAACACACATTGATGCTCTGCACCCACTTAAGACCAAGCTTTTATAACTTTCTTTTAACACTGTTCAACACATTTTCAATGATTTAAAATAGTATGATTGTTTTAAATGCAGACAAAACCAAAGTCATGATGTTTTCTAAAAAATCTAAACCATCTAACCTCCCTTCGATCTCCACCTCTCATGGTACACAAATTGAGTCTGTGTGGAGCGACAGATATCTTGGTATTTTAATTAATGAGTCTCTTTCTTTTACTCCTCACATTCAGCAGCTGGTAAACAGGTTAAAGCTGAAACCGGGATTCTACTTTAGAATCAAAATTTGCCCCTCTTTTCAATCTAAGAAGAGGTTGTTTGCTGCACTGTCTATTGCTTCAAGTCCTGTGGGTTAACTCTGAACTTGGAAAATCCGCTTTTAGCTATTTTGCTCCAAAAATGTGGAATAATTTACATCCTACTCTCTTGTTTCTCTTGGACAAATTAAGACAATGATCTCAATCCACTTTACCACAGTGTGTGATTGTTTCTTTCTGTCTCGACATCATTGCAAATGAGGGAAAACCTCAATAATTTTCAAGGCTTCAATCAAGGTTTGAAATGAAATGTCTGTGCTAGACTACACTGATGTTTTATACATGCACGCCTCCTCACAAAGCTAACATACTATTGATACTGTGTAATATGGAGCTCTGAGGTTCATCACTCATTATAAATCCCTCTCTCATTCATGAAAACATGAATAACATAAATCATGAAAATGTCAGTACTAAAGTGGTGCTTGTATCTTTTTTTTCTTTCAGATATAACAAGTTGCTGGAGGTCATCTTGCAGAGTCTGGGTGATATTGTGAAGGCTCTGAATGGTTTAGTGGTGATGTCATCAGAACTGGAGCTTATGGCCAACAGTCTGTTTAACAACCTGGTGCCTGATATGTGGAAAGCTAAGGCAAGGCGCACACCACTTTTACGATGCTCTTGGTGATACCAGTGGGCTTATAATCACTGTTTAACAAACACACTTCAGAATTTGAAATCGTACAACTTTTTTTTAATTTGTTTTATTTAAAAAGAAATAAAAACACAAAATGACAAAGTACAGCTGCTTGTCTGGAACTGAAACTTAAATATGATCTCCATCTTTGTTTATTTGTATCATGTTGGAGATATTACTCAGATATTCTACCTTAAGAAGCTTTATAATAAACATTTTGATAAAAGTTCTTTAATTCTGTTTCCAATGCAGGATCTTCTTTCTCACAATAAATACCTCTGGTGGTGTGTCTCTCTCACCCTAGGCCTACCCGTCTCTGAAGCCTTTGGCCTCCTGGGTGTCAGATCTGCTCCAGAGGATCAATTTCCTGCACAGATGGATCTATAATGGCATTCCACCTGTCTTCTGGATTAGTGGCTTCTTTTTCCCCCAGGCTTTTCTCACCGGAACCCTCCAGAATTATGCCCGTCGCTCGGGCTTCTCCATCGACACTATTGGATTTGACTTTGAGGTGAGACGTAAGCTGTTTATCAGACGTCTGAAGTCTGTCATTTCTACTGTTTCTGTCTCATTGACAAAAAACTGCTCACTTTCTGTAGTAGGTGTATTAACTCTGCACACACATATTTACCACTCTGACTGAGTATATCAAATACTGTAAAGGAAACTGCCAGGTTTTGTGTATTTAAAAATGTAATTTTTATGATTTACACTGACTTTTCTTGTTTTCCCTTGTCTTTTTGTTTCTTTGCTACCTCAGGTTGTAGAGAAGCCAGTGTCAGAGATAACAGAGAAACCAAGCTCAGGCTGCTATATCCACGGTCTATTCCTGGAGGGTGCTCGCTGGGATAAGCAGGAATGTCAACTCACGGATTCCAGGCCCAAGGAGCTCTACACAGAAATGTCGGTCATCCGGCTCATCCCGGAACCTAACCGCAAACCTCCACCCACTGGGGTCTACGTGTGCCCCATCTATAAGACCCTCACACGTGCTGGTTAGTCTGCGCAATGTCCGATTTAAAAATGTATTCAATGTATTTTCCTTTTTGGTAGGGAAATAGGCAACTAAAACTTTTGCTGCATCATTAACACTTTCTTTAGCATGACTTAGTCTCAGGCTTCTTGCTCTTGTGTTTGTGTGTATCTCCTCTTGGTGGTTTTATTACTCTCCAAAAATAGACTCCAGTTAGTGTCCTGTTTCATGAAGCGTCTAAAGGTGCAGCTCTGTTTTTTCCACCCACTGCATGAAGCTAACACCTTCATGTTGGCACATTGGACCGGCAGAGAACTCAGTGCAGTAATGGAAAAATAACTTACTATCTGAATTTTCTCACTAAATGGCTTTGTTTGCTTTGTAGGGACTCTGTCTACAACCGGTCATTCAACCAACTATGTGATTGCAGTGGAGCTGCCTACAGATCAGAGTCAGGGACATTGGATCAAACGGGGAGTGGCCCTCATCTGTGCATTGGACTACTAAACACAAATACACACATTTTTCCTTAAACAAGAAAAAACACCTGTGGTGACTGTGTCTTTATTTTAAAGCCCAAATGGTAAAAATGGGCAATGGGCTTGAGTTGTATAGCTCTTTTCTAGTCTTCTGACTACTCCAAGTGCTTTTACACCGCATGTCACACCTACACATACACACGCTGATGGCAGAGGTTGCTATGTAGCGAGATCATCAGAAGTAACTAATCCCATTCATACACATTCATACGCCGCAGGAAAGTGTCCTGCCTAAGGACACATTGGACATGTTGCTGCAGGAGCTGGGGATGGAACCCTCAATCGTTCCACTTGAGAGACTATGACCTGTGGTTTAAAAGACTAGAAAAGCACAATACAAGCTCAAGTCCATTTACCATTTCCTTCTCTGTGACTTTATACATCCACATAGCCTACATCTCCTCCTTTAATGACCAGTTGTAGCTGTTATCAGATGTTGAGAAAAGATTCAGAACCTTCACAGAAATTAAGGATGGTGAAGAAAAACTTATCATAAGAGCAACATCTTCAAGTTACTCTAAAATACATAAGAAAAGTAAAAGACACACATATTGAGCAAATAAGTCTGGGAAAACATAATCTTATTATTCGTGTAAAAACATTTTATTCTGGAACACGGGGTTACTGCGTCCTACTTTATTTAAGTATTCTGTGTTATTAATATTCTGTCTTGAAGATGTTTTGAGAAGTCAAAACTTCTATTTCTCATCAAGAATGGTGTTAAAATAAAGTACAAAATGACAGCCAAAGAAAATGGTCAAGTATTAGACAACAAATCTTAACCGATCTCTCACACACCTGCTTCAGTAATAATTACGGCAACAGAATGAGAGCCTCAGGCCTTTCCAAATTTCTCATTTGCTCTCGAACTTGACCCAAGTTTCAAGATTTCAAAAACCTCTCAGCGAAGAAATTGGAAATCCTTATCTAGAACTTTGTCTGCAAGACAAAATCTCAAACCCCTGAAGAGAAGAAGACCACCTGACTGAAAAGCTATAGGCCTACACAGCTAAACTCACCGGCTGGACCCCCGTGGAAGAGACCCTGCAGACCAAAGTCAGAGCTGCTGATTGTCACTCACTGTGGTTGAAAAAAGATGAGTATGAGTTTCTGACTGAAATAAAAAATGAAGTGCTCCAAATGCTAATCGTGTTTGAGTGGATTTCATCACTAGTGAAATACTTCTTTTCAACTTTCACCCTATAATATTATTGGACGTCAACCGAACTACACAAAGCATGTATGTCATCATTCTTTCTAAACCTAACTGGTTTGTTTTGAATTCAATAAAGCACTCACACACCTTAAGGAGTATTGGTATTTGGTGAATTGATTTCCCTCGAGGGATGTTTGGCTGGTGGAAGATTTTCTAAATGTAATAAGTTGAAAGTGTTACAAAAATGTGTAGTGGTTAAACTACTCCTAAAAAAACATGTTATCAGGAGCTTCTTTTCAACAAGAAGTTACACAGAGTCATCTCGATCACTTTGTAGAACTCTGAACACATCTATTTAAATCATTACTGCACAGAATGAAAGCATAGAAACAAATCAACAGTTCAGAGGAATCATCACAAATCAGTGAAATTCTTTATTTCAAACATGTATTATATTCAAATGTTATTGCATAGAAATGTTTTGGTACATGCAGTTGTCCCCTGTATAAAGAAAAATAACATTTCCTCTAGCTTCCCACCATTGAGCCTGATTAAGGATAATACTTTATTGATCCCCAGAGTGAAAATTCGGGAATACAAAATTAAGCATCCCTGGCTGGATGATGGTCTGATGGTTCTCAAAGCTTGTTTGATATGAGCTGCAAAAAACATGGCGTGGACTGAGTGAAAAAACATCCTCATGTTGTCTTAGTGTATTTTACACATGATGTTTGTGCTTTTAATGATGTATCACCCATTTCAAATTTCAATGTTTTGTTTTCATACTATGTGAATCCTGGCCTGTGGGGATTGTCATGACACACTTGGTCACAACTTCCTACACTTCATAGAATTTGAGTTAAGGTGTTTTTGTTTTTGCATACAGCACATCTGCTATTGGTCATGACCTGTAGGATGTGACTCATGAACAGTCCACTCTTTATTGTACTATGAAAGTTTGAGTTTGTTTTGTTTATTACAGTTATTTCCAAAACATATTGGGTAATACATGAAAAGTTATTGGAATTATGAAAAGTCATCCTTATGAAAGTGTCTTGTAATCGTGTCTGTCCTTTATTACACTTTTTGTTTGAGCAGGATTTTGTCAGAGGACAACAATATAAGAGTTAGAGTTGTGAAAATCACAATCCCATGAGTTGCAGGCTGGATGAGAAAAATGGTGACAGTCATGCTCTACAAAAACTTTGCTGCAGCAAGGACAAAGTGTCTTACATAAAGAACAATATTAAAAACACAATGATTTATTCTATCCTTCCTTAAATCTCCAAACCAACAAAGCTCACTGGACACTAAACATAACATACGTCCTGCTCCTTTAAGGCGACCGCATAGTGGCTGTTGAGAAATATGACTTAACTGTAGGTGGGTGGTGCTTAAATCAGCAGTGACAGTGACTGGCCATGTGAACACAACCACAGGACTCCTGATGAACGGGAAGCTGAGCTCACCAGGATCAATAGAAAATCCCCACTGTTGCTGTCTCCTCAACATTCTGACTGGAATTATCCTTTTGGGACTTTCAGATGTTTACTGTCTTTGGATTTCTATGAAGAGACGTATTTGACAAAGAATACTTCTTAGGTAGATGGACACATATTTAAGTCGGATGAGAATGAATAGTTATTAAGTTGTTCAAACAATGTTATTGGTTTTGTGTGCTACACTCTAGGTTAATTTGGATTAATCTCTGGAGTGAAAGTGACACAGAAAAGTATCCAACAAGTTTTAAGTTACGTACTTTGCTAAATGCACGCTTCAGCTGAGGACTTTTATCACCTTGTTAAAAATTAAAGACTCCCTGAAACACACAAGATCCAAAGAACCAACTTCCGAAATGAAAATGTAAGAATTGAACTGTCTGACGAGCTCTGGTGTTAATGATGCAGTAGCTCAGTCTGTAGGGACTTGGGTTGGGATCCAGAGGGTCGCCAGTTCAAGTCCCAAGTTGATCAAATCTGGAAGTTGGTCTGGTAGCTTGGAGAGGTGCCAGATCACTTCCTGAGCACTGCCGAGGTGCCCTTGAGCAAGGCAAAAAAAATATAGATTATATAGATTACTACATCTGGAGCTAGTTCTTCCCACACATTAAAACCTGAACACACTGGAGGTAAGTGATGGTCCAGCAGCTCATGCTTGGTGTGTTATTCTGAGGAGGAATTCAAAGCACTGTCAGACTGCTGAAAATATTCATTTTCTACAGGAGGCTTATATTTTGTAGAAGATTGTTCATCATTCAGTGTTTGCATTTACTGTATGTGAAGCCTTTGTGTGTCTGTTTTGTTGCAGTGTGGTGCGCCTCACCTTCAGGACCACGCCCATGATCAGACCAGGAGGATCTCAGCATGCCAGGCGGAGAGAAAGCCCCGAGCTTTCAGTCGCTGTTCATGCTGCAGGAACGACCAGGTAACACTTTTGATTTTCATATTTTGGAACAAAAAGTCCCAGATGTTATAAATATAACCCTCAGCAGATAAATAACTGATAGTGTTAGGATAATAATAAACACAAAGGGGACTATATTTGCAATATTGGTTTTAAATGGGGAAGTTTATTGCACAGACTTAAACAAGCCTTTCATATTATTAATCTCAATGTCATCTACACTTGATCTCCAAAAGTCGCATTCCTTAAAAATGTGACATTTGTGAACTCATGTCAAGTTATTCTGAATTAAATTCTTGGAAACCATTAAACGTAAACTTTGTCAGGTTATCTCCAGACGTAGTTGATCTAAAGTTGTTCATATAATGATACCTAAATCTGTTTTTAAATGAAACATTCTAAAACCATCTCTTTAAGTTCAGTTTTACATACATACTACTCTCTACACGTTTAAGAGTGATTCTGCCACCAGGTGGTGCCAAACAAGTATATCTTTTAATCCACTTCATGGAGTCATATTAGTTTGATATGCAAAATCTGGAGTTCTGATTCAGTTAATGCAACAACAAAAAATTCAAATGATTGATTACACTGGCTTATTACAAGAGTAAAAGTCTAAACACCTCAAGCTTATGTTCTTTCAATGACGGACAGCCACATATTTTTCACAATTCATTTCAACATTTCTGCTCTAAGAATGTCTTAATGAATTGGATTGAATTTCACCCTTACTTTTATCAAAATCCAATTGAAACATCTTGCAACAAAGTCTGCAGGCCCCTTCTGCAGACACATTAGTTTTCATCAAAATGAGCTACTCAATATTTACCAATACAAACTTGTCTTCACTGAAGTATGAGCAACGTCAAATGTTTGTGAACGCAAAGAAATGTACTATAACATACTCTTAAGTTGCTTGGGAGATTTTTAAAGTCTGCTGCTGAGTCTGACATTTTCTCATTTGGTATTGTTTCCCAGGATTCAACTCACCACCACTGGTCTCGTAAGAGGAAGCGGACCTTTGTAGCCCGTCCTTCCAACCCTTCTGCACGAGCAGCAGAGCTGACCCAGGATCCTGTTCCACAGCCCTCCACCCACAATGCTAACATTCCAACTTGGGTCCAAAGGCCTCAGTCTACCATACCACCTGCTCAGCTGCCTGTCTCCTGGAAAGTGGTCCCCGGTCTCCAGCCTCCCACCGCTCCTCTGCTAGATAACAGCCCACTGAAAATCAACAACTATTCAGTGTCTGAGTACCAGCAGCTCTACCATGCTGTGGTGGATGACATGCTAAGGTATGTTCATGTCACCATCAGGAACATGCCACTATCTATATTCCCATTAATCATGTTTTTTAATCATATGCACAATCATGATATAAGATATGTCCCCTCCACAGGTTCAAGAGCGGCCGTCCACGTCCTTACAGCCTAGATCTCGTTTGAAGCAGAAGCTGTGGGAGTGTATGGATCGT